AACCTTAATGATTCTATGATTCTACGATATTCATTAGATGTTTCAAGTTATTTTTCTGGAGGAAAAAACTATTAAAAAAATCACAGACAAATATTCTTGTTTGCTGCAAGTTCACAGAGGGCCCAGCAGCTGGATGTAGGCTCTAGCTACTACACCTAACTAAGGAAAAACAAGCCTCAAGATGGCAAACAAATTTCTTCTCCATTTCTAGGTCCACAAAGTGCAGAGTTAACTTCATCTCCATTCCCTACCAAAAGCTGCACCTCTAATCTGTGACTTAATTAGTGTCTCTAATGAAAAGCAGCATGGGCAAGACCAGTTGCAGCTCCCAGGCCATGTGTCCAATATGAGAGACAGCAGTAAGGCAGCCGAAAGCTCCTTGGTAGCTTCTTTCAAAATTACTATTCTTAAAATTAGAGGAGAGGTAAGTAAGAAAGATTCATGGGTATCACTATCCTTTCCTAAGCTAACACGTTTTATCTAAACAACCTCTGGGAACACTAATTCTTCTCGAGCTGTTAGAAACCCCAGTAATTTCTCCAGCAGTACCTGATGCTGTTTGACACTCAGGGTTTCCAGATGAGACACACACCGCTTGATAGCCTACCCACCGCACTTTGTGGTCAGGGCTCTACATTTTAATTGTTCCAAATGAAGTGGAACATGTTCGTACCTAATTAAATGAAGCATGCTAAGCTGTTCCATCTTGTTTCATCTCACACGGCAAGTTGGCAAAAGCAGAAGCCACACAGACACCTTATACTTCAGTTCTCTACTTACCAATACCACACAGCTACTAGAGTTTGTGTGTTTTAAATATATTGGATTTCCACTCTGATGCATAATGTATATAACCTAAATACCTTATTTTGGCAAACATGGCTAGTAATTCACTTATACAATGTGTATGTTTGTGACTATCCATCCTCCCATGGAAACATTTGTGTTGCTCAAGTATTTTTTGACCTTGGGCTCGAGACCTGCCCAAGGACTGCAAGGATGCAGTCCTCACTACTGCGCACGCGTGCTGGTTTCTTGGTATTTTACACCAACAACTGTCCAACCTTATTATGCAATATCACAAGGTGGACTAGGCCCTCCCTGTAAGTATCCACAATGCCATAGGAATTTGTCAAGATTTATAAGCTGTCTTTGTTAGAAACTACTCTCTCTATGTAAAGATTATGACCAATTTAAAAGAGACTTGACTTCACCAGAGTAAAGAATCAAGTTTTGAAAGCTAGAGTCAGTGTGACATTAATGAAACTGGAAGTAAAAAATGACTCAAGAGCCCACATGAAAGGATAACATTAAACAATAAGAACTCGACATTAAGAGCCTTTTTAAAAAAAGTGGTTACAAATAATTAAAAGCAGCACAGCAGCAGCAGGCGGAAGCTGTGGTTCAATCTCCAGTCTACTGCCAGAACAAACACTCTCGAATTTGCAATAGCACAAGAAGCTCAGTAGGTTCCTTCAGATGCTGGCTTTCTCAGCAGCTGAAGCATAACCTATGCTTTGATTGGAAAGTTTAGACCTAGACATAGTTGAAATGGTTAGGCAGCGTATTTATGAGAGTATGAAAGTCAGCCCCTGGCTGATAAGCACCAGCAGCGACTCTATGATAGACGTGCTTTATTCACAGGAGTCATTGCTGCTAACAGCCATCTCTGCTGAGCCAGGACAAAAAAAACTAGGCTGACATCTTTCACTGTTTGACCCAAATTTCTGTTAGCCAGATACTTAAAATACTGGAAAAGTCTGCACTGGGGGCAATACCTTTGCTCCCCATCACACCAGCTGAATTCATACAAGCTCCTCTTGACACATAGGAGTACTGCTAACTTCTCAACTGTCATGTCCAAGGGAACGTCAAGGATTGCTCACCAGTGCCGTGGGGTACTCCAGCCCAGGAAGCAAATGTACGCAGGACAGAGTAAGAAGTTGTCCGTTACCACAAAACAGAAAAGGACAAGGAAGACATTTCTGGCCATCCACGGAACCGCTGCTTCCAGGAAAGGCAACCCCTCCTTGCCCCAGAGCTGTATGCTCACTGTATGATTGATAAATATACATGGTCACCACCATTTTTGGTTTAATTTCAGTTTCACAACCAAATTTACTTTCATCCAACACTTACAGGCCAGCTAAACCTAAGGAAAAGTAAGCCCCCCATTAGAGACACATTTATTGCCTGCGTATTGCATCATGACTCATTTGACCTCATCCTACACCTACTGGCATATTCTAGGTCCGTCAGTCTTTGGTTTATAGCCAGATAGTGATGATGGGCTGTTTTAAGAATTCAGTCATGTCCAGCTTCAACTTGCCAGGGCAGTAAAGGAAAGCACACTTCTTACAAGCGATCAAGAGGAAGGCCAGTTAATTAAAAAAAACGTGCACCACAAAAAGAAAACACCCCACCACCCCACCCCCTCAGCAAACACCACATTCAATTGTTTTTTAAATCAGCACTCCCTATGATGAAGCAGAGAGTCTTGAGACACTCAAGCAAGAAATTAGTGCTGGGGAGTCTCAATTGACAAGAGTAGATGCTGGACAGCTGGTGAATTCAGCATTCGGCCACATGCAGTGCTGCTATGCTTGCTAGAAGTAAGTTAGGAGGAAGGGACCCATAAGGGGCAAAATTCAAGCTGACAACTCTGGTTTGAAATGATAAATGACTATCTAACATTTTCTTTTAATGGCCTTTAATATCCTTCACAAAGCTTAACTCTGAGTACCAAGAGGTAATTTCATGCAGTCATCCTCACAGAAAGCTACCACTTCTAAGGATCCCCCAGGTCAAGATGTGAACTGACACCTGCTGAAACCTCTAGCAGTTTTACATGGCCAGGATTCCTGAACTTTCATACAAACAACCGCTCAGCCTTCAGCTTCCCTCCTCCCCTTTTTTTTTAAATAGACGAACACATCTAGGCTGACAAATAAGTTTGCAAACGCCTTATGATGGCCCAGTCCTAGTTCTGCACTGAAATTTAAAGACTAGTCCTTCTCAGAGAAGAAATTAAGCCACAAGTTTCATTTTCAAAGGAAAAATGCCAGTAAATTAAAGACAAAGTGTTCAGATTTATTTGGAAATTCACAGTTTCTAATGGCACTACAGCTCTGTAGTTACATACTCTTGTTCCACAACACTGTATGCTGCACTCAGGTGGTATGTATTTTCCTCATCCAGGCTTGAAACCCTTCTGAATTCACGTTCAACACGTCTGTTTCATGTGCTCTGACTGGCTAATTGTGCAGATCAACTCCAAAAGTACATCACCTTAAAGTATTCATAAACTAACAAGAAAGCAGCAAAAAAACCAAAGGCTTAAATAAGTCACATTACATACAATACCCAGGAAAGGCATTAGATCTGTTAAAAAGGGTACCACTAAAAGTGCTCAATAAGTTAACTTATTTTTTACAACGTGAACCTGTAACACCTGCCAAAAGGAGTAACCTTTTGTTCCACTCGCTCAGATACACACTCAACATTTTAGCAATCACACATCCTATAGTATCCAAATACACAATCACAGTCAAAATAAAAAACACTTGGATATGAAAATACCAACCATACAAACACTGCACATTTGTTAGCCAATACAAAAGCAAACGTTATGGAAATACCCACGTTGAACCGACCTGACTGGTCAGACTTCAAGGCTTTGCAAACAACACATCCAGAGCTGGCTTGGAGAACAGCCCAGCTGCAGCAGCTCACCCTCGCTTCTTCAGCTGAGCTTTTTCCTGAACTCTCCGCACAGACGCAGTGAGCATTCCCCATCACTTCCTTCAGAGAACTATAGCAGGCAATTTAGATAACAAATGCGTTCATCAGCCTAAGATCCCATCGTACACAGGAAATCCTAGAAAGCAACTGTCATTCATTTAGCACATCAGACTACAGCTCCGATTTGTAACTGAAGGTGGAAATAAATGTGATTACCATCTCTAGTGAGATATTTTTCTCAATCGAGTTTGCAAAACCAGAATCTAGTCAGACAAGTCCATCTATTAGTATTTTTACAGTATCCAGTCCACATTACTGAGTCCAGCTGAAGGCCAACACATGTCCCTTTACAGCACTGTAGTGTTGCATCTTCAAAAAAAGCTAGAGAAATTACAAAATAAATCAAATGACAAACAATTGTATCTCCCCTCTTCCAGTGGCATTATAAATAGACAAAAGGCACATAAATATGGGAAGGTGCAAGAAATAGGAACAAAGCTAAAGGAAGAGGATTAGGCTTTTATCCCTATTCCACCCAACAAACTGGGTTTCAAAAAAATCTCTGCCCCAGGAACTGTGAAAAAAAACCTTTATAAAATGAACCCTGCCCTCCCTCCCCCCAAGCTGTTCTCATAGGAAATTATCAGCCTCGTAAAGCTGCAGCTTATAGCCAAGATTGACACAATCCCATCTATTTAAAAAGGCAGAAACCAAATTTCTGAATACTTTCCAATTAGTTGAGCTCTTCGTCTCCCACTATCCTCCCACAGAATACCACAGACTGTTCTCAAACGAACAAACACTCTCCTGTTTGATAAGTTCAGCTAGTTTTAGATGTGTCCAGAAACTGCCGTGACACCAAGTGTTCCCACTGTTATATCTTTGTTTCCTTTGATTATGTCATGCAGGCTTGGCATTGACCCTGACTTAGTCTGTATTAGAGTTTTTATGAGCTTCCCTTGGTCTGAAACTTTAGACCGTCTTCGTTTTATAGCCCTCTTCTCAGTTTTTGTCTTTTGGGTCTGTCCATTGCACAGACTCGTACATGCTGAAATGCCACAAAAATAGGACTCCTCAGACTGTGATGACGTTTCGGAGCTTCCTTCGGATGGAGGACCCTTATACGAAGAGTGATAAACTTCCCCAATGTTAGAGAAGTCCCTCTGGTTCGTAAACGGCTTCCTTCCTTTAATTTCCCCGTTGGCTATTGGATGCAGAGGCTCTGTTGTTGGCTTAATAGTCTCTATTTTTTCACTTTTGTATTTACATCGCTTTTTCTGAAACCACAAGTAGAAAGAGGAACAGTTAGGTTCTGGAAGGCAAACAGAGCATAAAAACCAAGCCTAGGAACCAGCGCAGGGGAGAGCAGCTGAGACGTGCACCACCTGCCAGCAGAAACACACTCAGCTCAGCCTGCCCTCCCCACAGCCACTGTACCTTCTTCTCTGGGGAAAACTTCAGGGGTTCTACAATGTACAGGTCCTCTGGATCCACTGTAAGAGAGGGAATGTAAATTTAGCAGTCCCGACACTGCCAGCTCTAGAGCAACACAGTTCTAAATAAGTAACAACATGACAAAATATTCCACTGAGACACGTTTTTGTCCTGTTGTAAGTTAATGGAGGTACAGCACATGAACACTGAAAATGAAGTCAATGCACAGAGGAATTCCCCTATGCTGTCAAGGCAGCTATCAGTGATATACACTTGAAAACACCTGACCTCCTGATAGATTAGGCCATAAGAGAGGTGCAGAGAACATCCCTTAGGGAAAAGGAACAGTAGTCAGCAAAGGTTAGCTTCTACGAAAATGAACTGTTACCAATATAACAGTGTTTAATGTGCAGCCTGCCCATGACAGGACAGATACTAGAAGCATGTGTACCTATCAAGGACACAGATGTTCAGAGTGACATGAGACCACTCTGGCATTCCTCCATCAGTGCTTTGTAAATCATTCTTGCAAGCTGAAGCAGGCGAGAATTCCAAAAAAGCGTGGTTTTGCAAAAAAAATAGTCTACGCCTTAACTAGTCTCTATTGCAGCCTCCCAATTCAACTCATGAGTTTTCATGCAGTTTTATTCACAGTACAAAAAAAAACGCGAAGCAAGTTTGCTGCACCCTGAAAAGCAGCATCAGCTGCATACTTGGTAGTTACTATAATCTGCAACACTTTTGGTTTTGCATGATGATGATGGCCTAAGAAATCAAAATTCAGTTGTACCAAGTGTAACATGAACACTGAAAACACCAGATTATTCCTCATACCCAAGACAAGATAAATAGTCTAAATCTTCTTACTACAGTTGATAAATTTGGATCCTAAATATCTGCCAAGTTTCAAAGACAGGCTCTCAGGACTTCTCAGAAGTAGGGCATTCAGACTTCCCACGTCTGGCATTTAAAAAAAAAAAAAAAAAAAAAAAAAGAAAATTGCCACTTTCTGCAAGCTTCACAGCTTTGTAGACCTGAACGCCTGCATGGATTGCTACTAACCCCAAGAAAACATCTGTAGAGTATAAACGATAGCAAAGACTACATTTAACATTTTAGCATAATTTAGCACAGTTCTGTGAGTGTCTGGTAACCTGTTCATGAACCATCTTGTCCTACAGAACGTATACGTGAACTACTATAATCCAGTGTACTTTGACATTAATCTGCAATTCCATTTTCACACACTTGCAGTAACACACACATTGTAATAGAGTAACACTAGAGACTAGATGTATGATATGTGAATAATACCTTCTTTACCAGCTAGCTGAAAAGACTGTGATCTGACCAGTGGAAGAGAAGTTCTTCTTTTCAAATTCATATCATCATAGGAGGAAAAACATCTAGGAAACAAAATCCACAAAGCTTTTTTAAACACATTTTTCTCGGGACTTTATCATATGCGTTTTTCATTAAGAAACATCTTTGGCAGAAGGACAGAATTATTCGCTGAGGTGCCCAAGAAGGCCTGGCAAACGGGCACAGTACTGTATTTGCAACAAGCTATCTAGGCACGTTAAGTGTAGTAGCCCCAAAATGCTCCTAGGAGAGCGTTACTACAGAGCAGTAATGGCTCTTTGCTATCAATTTTGAGTTTGCAGAAAGACAACTCAGAATTAAAGCAGATGTGCCAGTCCCCATGGAATTAGGAAATATCAATAAAAGCTGCAAGAACAATTAAGTTTCAAATAGAAATGCATTACCTTTTGGGGCTAGGGTAGTGATTACTTTTGGGAATTTTTGAGAGGTAATCTTCACAGAACTGAGAAGTGCTTCTGCACCGCTGCACACAAAGCACCAAGCCCAGAATGACACAGAGAACCAGAGAAATCACAAGGTAAGTCTGCCGATCAGAAACCTGGAAGAATTTAATATAGTTGTTAAAGACAAAGAATAATTTAATGATACTATTATTCTCGTGTTTTAAACATTAAAATCTTTAGAAGAACACAATTTACATATTCTCAAGTCACTTTCCTTCAATTTCACTAAACACTTGTTCAATTTGAGTATTTTTTCAGAGGTTTGATGTAGTCTATTGGCTACACAGCATTCAAGGAATGAAGGCTGAAAACCACTAGCTGGTCACACAGGACAAGATTTCACTGACTATGGTACTACCATAACTTAAAGGAGCAGCCGCCCCTTGCAAAGAGCATTCAAACCTATCTAAATAATATACTTTCCTTAAGAAAGTGTACTCAGGAAGTAACTTTTCTGTTTTACAGTTGACATGGATGTAATACTATCTCAATTTTACGGGATGCTTTTTATCAGCTGATGTTGCAGTACTTCACAGAATAAATACCATTATATTCACTTGATTCAATGTGTTTCATCGTTCTAACTACTCTTGCATTCCACAACCTAGCAAAACGATTTTTTCAAGTACGTTCATTTCTGAAGATTGACAGAAGACACTTACTAGAATTATATGGAATCTGAAATCCAGGGGTATTTTGCAGATAATGTTTAAAAAAAGTGAGTTGCAGAGTTGTTTTCCTATAAAAATATCTTAAACACACTAAGATCTTAGAAGTCATACAAAGACTTTAGAAAAGACAAGGAACACGACCTCCCATTTGTTGTGCAAATGTCTCAGACTAATAGACTCAGGTGACCAGAGTTGAGTTCAGGGAAAGCCATGTGTTCCAATTCCAGGATACTCATCTAACATACCCTGATGATCACCACTGTCAAATCCTGGTTAAAACCACACAGCACTCATGAACAGGAGCTTAGCCAGCCAAGCATCAAGGACGGAGTCTCACTAAGTGTTAGAAAACAGCTCAAGAGATGTCTTTGGCAACATGCACAAAAACCAAGGTCATGTTTATAGTACTGCTTGAAATCCCAGGCTGGAGAATGTAAACATTTGAGAGAGTATGTTCCTAATATTGTTTCCAAGATTTCCCTAATCTTAAAAGACAATAGCCAGAGAGGAAAGGAGAAGGGTGCCTTAGCCATATGAGCCTCCCATTCAGTAGCTAAAGTGCAACCCTCCACATATTTGTCTGTTATTACAGCCCAGTTCTAACAGTGGCCAGTACGCTCTTGCACACTAAACCTCTTATGGCAAGAGTCTGTTAGTATGTAAGTGGACAATGTAAGTGCTGGACACTGCAAAGCATCCCATTTTACTGAAACTGTGTAACAAAGCCATGCAATACAACTAGTTATATAATGGAGCAAGTGCCGGAAAAGTTCTTGAAGCATGAACTTTACCATTCCCTCAGACACGTCAAACATTCTATATGTGCAACAAATCCCATTATTGCCATTTCAAAATCAGTGGTTGGTCTTCTAATTTCATTAAGAATCATTTCATAGAACAATATCAATTCCAATGCACTACAGGAAGGCTGAGATATTAAGTTATTCAACTAAGTTTTATCTTTATCGTTAGCTCAGACTACAACCATGGGGCTAGTAGGGCTGTAGTAGAAATTACTACCAATCTTGCTGTGCACAAGACAGCTCAAGCTACTCAAACTTTCCTCCCCTCCCTTGGCCAGCTGCTACAGACAACTTCTCAAATGAAAAGCTTCATTTAAAGACTCCAGGCCTCTTCAAATTGAGATATGTTTATGCATCTGCTTCCTTTGAGTTCTCGTGCCATATTGCTGAATTATAATTACCTCACGTTTTAATTCCGCCACAGTTGTTGACAGATTGGAAACTAGCTGCGTCATATTGGTGAGCTGTGCTTGTAACAGCTGGATTGCTTCTGTTTGCCGCTGATCCTGTATTAAAGAGAGTCATGGCCATGCTATTTAGTTGTCAGGTTCCTACCATCGTATACTCTCACATGTACCGAGTCAGCATTCTATCTGACACAGCCAGGCATTTTGTAGCCACAGGACCTATTCAGCACTGTTTTCAACACAACTTTCATATAACATTTGCAACTGCTAAGCAGCATTAGTCATATACGCACTTAAAAACATCAACACTTTTACTTATCAAATAACGTTTTGTAACATTATGCCAAGTGCATTTCATTACAGTGACTTCTGCTACCTTCATTAAAAGCAGATTAAGTAGCCAGCTCCATGCGATGACTATCAAGAAGTTAAGTACTGTCATCTTACAAAATACACATGCAGATGACTAGGCAGAGCTAAATTCTAAGGGCTGACGCACAGCTTCTGCTCTGGGATCAGGTAGCCAGCCACTTAATGACAGGAGCCCAAGCCAGGCAGGAACAAGTCCTTTGCAGCTATCATCTCCTTCCTGGAAAGAGCCCTAACAGGATTCTTAATCCTGTAAGAAATGAAGAAAGGTAAGCAGAATATCGGGGAGGTTAACCAAGAGGAGCACCTCAGACTGACCAGTGTTTGATACTATTCAAAAAAAGTAGAAAAGAGCATGGATATGATCTCAGGAAAGTTGCAATTTTCTTCACTGCTGATGGATGAGGAAACTACAAGCCTGGGACTGCACTTCAGAAATTTTCAGACAGTCTGGGATTAAGTCTGCTATGCCACATGCACAGTTGCTTTAGTGACTATTCAGCACTGCAGTTAGCGCTGTATTTCACAGCTGCTCAGGAAAGCTAGGATGGCAGAGCACGGAAAACCTCCTTCAGCTCCCACTTTCTTAAACCACATTTTAAAGAATGAACTAAAGTCTTTGTTACATGCACTACACTTTCAAACGCAAATTTGGCATAAGCCATTACTGCACCCCTCTCCCTTTCTAAAGGTTAGGTCTATTCAGCAGCATCAGGGCAATTGTCTATCTATACTTTAAATCAGAGATGAAAAATAAACCAAGTTAAAAAAAAATGGCTTTGAATGCAGCTACAACCAAGAAACAAGGGTTGGAAATGACCTGGATAACTTTTTCACTGGCAAAGACATTTAAGAGTTTTAGCCATTACCAGCTGACAACTGATTTTTTCTTCAAATACAAAATCAGGAAACAGAGCTGGAAATGGCTTTATTCTAAAACAACTCAGAATATATCTAAAAATTTTATTACAAAAAAAAAATTGGGAAGCATGAAATGGATGCTTTTAAAAGGCACAGCTAATAAAAATCTTCAAGTGAAAGAGGATTTCTGCACCTCCTTGCAACTCTTTCTCAAAAGTAAACTTTCCTAATTAGGAAAACACTTAAGTACTCCAACAAACCATACCTGCTCTTCTGCTATTCTTGAGGTGTTCTGAAGTTTTATTATTGTTTTATTGAAAGCCTTCTGCATCTCTTCCATTTGCTTTCGGTACCTAAAATAAAGAGCGTAAAGGTCTGAAATGCTAGTTCATAAAACTCCTTGGCACTAGACTTGTCTTCAGAAAATACGACTATGCCAGGAGAAAACTTTTCTTTGCCCAAAGAAGTTTTATTTAAACATCAAGTGGTATTTCCTTTTAAGTTTCACACATAAAACAGAGATGTGTCTTTCTAGGTTTTTTGTGGGTTTTTTCCAAGGTTAAAGTAAAATCTATTTCAACACCTTAGAGCTTAGCACCAATTTACTGGAATTCACTATGGAGAATTCTCTGCAAACACTGTCTGCCAAGACAGACAACACAATAGTAAATATAACGAAGAGCCCCCTCCTTGGAACCAATTCTGAAATGGGTACATTCCCTGATCCTCCTATGGCTAAGGAGCACCACAGATAAACACTAACATATATGCATCCCTCACAGAAAGTTCTTGGTTCCCTCTCCATGCTCCCGTCTGCAACAAGAGTTATTACAGATGATAACACGGTAGTTTAAGTGGAAACAATCAATTCAAGTAAAGAAGGCATTGTAGGTCTGTGTCATTCAGTCTAACAGCAACAGGAGGATGAGCCCTTCTGTTGAAAGGATTATGGACAAGATTAGTGCTTACATCCTGGCAACACTTTATCCTTTTAAAAAAACCACAGCAATATTCCTCAAAACAAAATAAATGTGATTGTATCTGAAATACAGAAAGGGAACCCCTGCCACCTGCAGACATCTAGGTCTCCAGTAGCTACCTAGGATTAGGTACTTTTCTCAGTTTTCCATAAAGCTTTATGCTGTGATTTATGTTGAAGTAAATCACTGTACTACTTTCTGTATGTGTATGTTCCTTTGTATAGCTGGCTAAAATCCTGTTTACATACGGTAGACCCTTACCAGTCTTCCTCAGACTTACCTCTGACTAAGTTCTTCTAAATAACGGCTGCTGAGTGACATGTTTACTTCTAGGGCTTTTATGCGATTATTAAGGCGCATGAAGACAGACTCCTTTTGGTTAGATCCATGAACAAGATTTCCATTAGCATAGCCTAGATCTGTTGAATTCTGCAATTCAGCATAGAAGTCTGTAGCTGTTCTCTGCGGTCCCCCAGAGACCGGAATTGCCATTAAAGCTTCTTCAGTTGCCTGATCATCCTCCTTTGTGTCGGCAGATATAGAAGACTCAATAGGCGGCAAAACAGGTTTCTGCACTTCTGGAGTGCTTTCCTTTCCTTCCCCAGCATCACTGGCTAACATGCCTACTGTATAGTCAGGCTGCAGAACAGTCTCTGTAGGCTTTGAAATCACTGGAGTAGCAATAGTCTCTCTTGTGCCCATCTCCTTTACCTCAGTGGCCACACTGGTCTCAGAAGCTACAGGGTCGTCTTCTGCAACAGAGCTCTCAGCCTTTTCAGTTTCTGCACTGATCTCAGCTATATCCACCTGGGGAGTCACCCTTGGTGCCACCTGGCCTGCATCTTCTTTTGCAGGCTCCAACACTGTGTCTGTTGTTGACAATGGCTTAACTTCAGAAGTAACTTCTAAGAGGAGGGATTGAGAGACAGTCTGAGGATGGCTTGGTTCCAGTTCAATTGAATCTGTGGTGTCATTACTGATCTCCTCATGGACCACACTGCTGAAGTCAACTGCAACAGTAGATCCAGATGATCTCTCAACTTTGCTGTCTAATTGCTCAGGCAGAGGCTCGTCTATTGACGTATGTATAGATTCGGTCAGAACCGCCTGTGGCTGCTGAACATCAGCAGAGTAATCTTGCCCTTGTTTACCTCCAGTTTTACTACGCTGCCGATGCATGGCTACTGCAACTGAACACCATTTAAACAGATATTCTGAAAAGGTGGAAATACAACATGCTGTTGCCATGTCATAGCAGTATTTTTCCGTCTCAAGTTCAAACCAAGCCGATGCTTCTTCTTCCTGATCCTCACTGGGCAGCAAGGTTACCGTTGACTGGCTTGTATCTTCTTCATACTCTTGTACTAGCTGAACAATAGGACTTTCTTTTGTCAAATCCACAATTAATTGCTCTTTATCTATCTGTGGAATATCTGTAGTAACAAGTCTACAACGAAAGAGTTAAAGACAGGATGTTACTTTAACAGTTTTACATGCCTGCTCTGAAAGACTGCAAAAGTAGGATCTTTTAAAAAATTAGCAAAGCTTATTCCAGTGACCAAAGGCCAGTTTGGATACAGCCAGAAATTCTGTAAGTTATTACTTTCTCTGGTGTTTTCCAATCCCAATCTACAAACAAATTATTTCAACCCTTCCTTCTGAAACAGCAAGCCTTCTCAATCAGATATTGCCCCTTCCCCCACCCCTGAAAAAAGTCACCAGTTCAAATATCACTAAGTTCTTACATAGCTAGCACCTTACTCTTCTGCTGCAATCCTCAAATGCAAATACAAGAATCACAACCTTCCCACTGAGCTTCCTGCAGTCTCTCAACAATCAGAGTGCTAGGAAACCATAAAACTACTAAATACAGCACAAATCATGTCTTAATATTTAAGAGCTAGAGTCTCAGCTTTAAGTAGCCAAATCCATTCTAAACAATTGTAATCAACTGAAAAAAAAACCCAACAGAGAATACCTATATACAACTCCTCCTCCCAACCTAATTCCATATCTTTGCATACATATTTTCATCAAGGAAAGCCTAGCAAAAAAATACAAGCTTCTAAAGCAGAGTTTTTGCGGATACAATTTAACTGAAGTTTCAGCAGCACGACTTACATTCCTAATTAGTCTCCCTTGCATGAGACAACCTGCAAAACCTGGAAGAATATTAAGTCAGTTTCCACCCCAGAAATCTGCAATAGCCAAGAGCAAAACACTCCTACTTCTTCTTCTAAACAAAGTAATACAAACAATTGAGGAAGTTAGCGATGCATTTTAACATTTAGTCAAGTGTTAAAATAAAACATATCATAATGGAAATAGCTATGAACAGTAATAACAGCAATAAATTTTCCTGATAGTACATTACCATACCACAGATTTCACCAAATACCTGCCTTTTTACTTGTTTAAGGCAGTGTGCCGTATCTGAGCATTCTACTACCAAAGATTCCAGACTGGTGCATGTTAGTCTCTGCCAGGGACATACTGAAAAAAAATCCCAACACCAATCACTTACTCTGGTGAAGGAACAGGAGTTGGTTCAGGCAGTCTTGGTGCAGCTGTTGACGTTGCAGGGGTGGCAGTGACATTTTCAGACACACTTTTGTTCCCTGCTGCAGGAAGGAGGAAAATGTGAATGTAAAAGAACCTTGTTTGTTTTCAATAAATTAGGGGGTTTGGGGGCTGTTTTTTTTTTTTTAGATTATTAACTGCACTACCAAATTAACTGCAGATGTCGAAGTTATTTGACTGAAAGTGCTACTGACAGTTTATGTATATGATGTTATGGACAGTCTCAAAATATTTCCAGGAAGAAGCAGCAAGTTAGACTTTACAACTGAAGCTGGGTAATACAGAGAGTAAAAGATCTCCAAATCTGGCTGAACAAACATATACATTATCTTTGTATCTGTTCCCTTCTCAGCAAATTCAGCATCTTTGTTCCACTTTTCACAGTCAGTAGGATACAAATTCTATGGCACTAATCAGGTATGCCATAAAAGGTGAAAAAAGTAATTTAAACATAGATCATCCAACGCCTCACAAAAAATTAAACAAAATAACAAAGAGAAATTAAAACTTTCCAGAATGCTTTTCATGTAAAAAAAAAAAAAATACCTTCAGCTTCAGATGACTCTTCAGTTTTGGCTCCGAGCATATTAGCAGCAATATTCACCATACTTAGGATAGCATCTAAAAGAGAAAACAATTTATCAAAGAGGACGTATTCAGAGGGCCCAGAGATTGGCACCACTGAGCAATCTGCTATTTTGTAATGCTTGCTTGAAACGACCCACAGCATAAGGACATTAAAAAAATCTGGTCATTCTATTACACTGGATGCATCTGTTGCTTTTAAAGGATAAGTTTGTAAGCTAGAAACTTACATCTGAAAACCCGTATCTAACCTTTACCAGCTAGACCTTCTAACACCAGTGAGAATTACTCACTGATCATTAGTCCACTGAAACCAAGGAACAGTAAGACAAACAGAAGAATATTTAAGCATGGAATTTTCTGACAGTCTGAGTTTGTGAACCACTGAGGGAGGTCCCAGGCCAGAAATTTAGAGCTTGAACGCTCAAATGGAGGATGTCTAATAAAGACAGGTTGGATCATTGATCATAATAGAACTAAAGAAGTGAGTCAAGAAGTGTCATTTGCTAAATGAGCAAGACAGAATTCTGCCATTGAACACCAGATGTCCACAGCAGGACAGCCACGGAAAACTACAGATTCACTGTCTCCCCCTCAGAGGTCCCTCTTCCTCACTGTGTATCAGTCTGTTTAAGACAAATGATGCAAAATGGAAGTCCATCACATTTGTCCAAGCATGCACATATAAAAAACCCACCACAAAAAAAACGACACTCACACACACAGTATTCCTTCAAAAAAGGAACACTGACTACCGGCCAGAGATGAAAGGTCTCAATAACAAGATCCACCAGCCAGAACTAAATGATCACTGCAATGTTTCACGTCTCTCTAAAAGCACTATCAGTAATAGGTGTTTCAAATCTTTTCATCATAGCTTTAGTACTCTAAAAAAACAATAGAAAAGTCACTGCATTTTTCAGACAGTGAACAAAAAAACTTGCAATACTGCACTCGCAGACAGAAAATGTCAATACGCCTCATCAAGACAGCTTGAAGAAACTTTGAAAGTCACAGATAAGAGTCAAGCAGTGTCAGGGAAGAATGTACTGCTTGCTCTCATCTTTGAGAGGCTAACATTTAGAAATAAACTGCCTTTTCCACTATCTATTTCCCCTTTGAAAACTGCAATATTCCTAGCCGTGACTTTTTGTTCTTAAGTGACGACTAGGTTCTAGGAAATAGTAGCAAAGAACTCCGCAGCTCTGATCCACTATGGGATGAAAGGAAAGCCTGAGCCCAAACAGCATTTGAGTGCAAATCCACACTACAGTAACAGATCTTCACTAACTGGGACAGAAGGAAGAGCAGTACAGTGTAAGAGATCTTCAAAAGAGGTTGTGTGGCACCTGATACTATCCTAAATAATTCAGCAGTTAAGAATACTATTAAAACTGAATATTCAAGTATTCTTAGCCAAACAAACTCCACATCTGGAGGTTTTCCAATGCAAAAGTGACGAGACAGTCAACCGTTAGTTCTCTCAAAAAAATATACAGCTCTTAAGAACATAGAAGCTGCAATATTTACATAAAGCCTTCTCAGAAACAGTGTTCCTCATCCCTTCCTTTCAAGCTGTACTAAGTAAATCTTTATATTGCCTCCTATAAATATGGCACCTTAATTAAGCACAGATTTCCAAGTTCTGAATCATTAAGGTTCTACAGCATTTCAGTACTGGTTATTTACAGCCCTATGTAACATTCATATTGTTTAGTGCACAGGATCCCTAAGTACAGAAAGTAAAGTTTCCAAAAAATAGAGATCCTTAGAACTAGAAAGTTCTGTTTTTAGAACACTAAGAATGATACCCCAACTTCAAATTGTTACTATTTATACCTATGCAATTAAATAGGAATCATAATAAATTGTTTCACCAGAAAAATATGAAAATCATAGCTGTTGCATGACAAAATGTCATCCCACTTTCAGTTAGCTCATTTTGTTGAGCACAGCAATAATTTTTCTAATAAATCATACTCACTTGTAGCAGAACCAAGGAGATTTTTTGAAGATTTTTCTTCCCCTGTATTGTAATCCAATAGATAATCTATGTATAAAGAAGAACACCTATGACTATCAAAATTAAATGTGTCATGGGCAAAGAAAATAAACCTCAAGATTTAACATGTCATTCAACTGTCAGTTTGACAGTGTGAAAACAAAACTACAGAAATAAAGTTAAAGGTCAGAGATTACATACTGAAATATCAAGCACCAAGTAATGTGAAACCCACAGAGACTCAGGGTTCAGGCTTCAGTTTCCCCAGGATTCATGATAGAGATGCAGCAAACAGCTCATTGAGCTTCATATAGGGTTTTTCCCCCTCCTCCTCATGAGGGCTGGAGGCAGGTGTTTTCATATTTTTTATTTAAACACGAAGTCTGCAATCCAAAACAAGCATCTTCCCAATTGCTTGCAGCATTGATCATACAAACTATCTCAGGAGATGTGCTGTGGACACTCAGAATAAAACTGCTTCATGTGAGCTGCTTTGATTATTTTAGTTAACCTTTACTACTGTCAGCACATGAAGATATTATTGCCTAGCCTGCCAAGTGAAATCGAGACTTATTACTAGCATTTTAAAGTAACCCTCCAAATAGTTACAACACATTGTTTAAAACTTAAAAGGATTGTTGGGTAAGCCCAGAAATGCTGAAATACTGTCAACAAGACTCAGAGTAAGTTTAGCAGTCAAATCATTTATCATATGCGGGAAATGACGAGCCACCAGACTAGCACAAGACACGTCTGAATGGCTAAAAATGCAGAAATTATTTGCTTACCATAGTCTTCATCAAAGAGTTCTTGTCGTTCAGACTGATACTGAGAATCAGCTATTTCTTCATACTCTTCAACCATGCTAGTACCAAATACCCTATGAACAAAGTTTTGAAATAAAAAACTAATATTAGTCTATTAGGCATGTAATTACTTGACATAATTTATAGTTAGATAAGCAATATTAACATTATATAATATGTAGCAAATAAATTAGATAAGCAATAGTTGCCTTCAGTTAACCAAGATCAAGCAGCAGGTATGCTTATTTTCTCAAACTTGTATCCACAAAGTCTATTGCTTGCTTTCAAGTCCTGCACCAAAACAAGATCCTGTTTTTAATTCTAGTAATTCCAAAGAGACTTTTCCTCCTTTTTAATTTGAACTCATACCTAGACTTCCTTGTCTTAAGCTCTCCATGAGCTCTTACGCCTCCTCTTCAGCTTCACCTTTGACTAATAGGAGTATCTATTCATGACTACCTCACTTTGCATACTATATTCTCTTTGACCTGCTCTGCCGAAATAAAATCAAATCAAACCAATTTAAAGCAGTTTGTCAACTGAAAATATGGTTTGGCTTATAACACTAGATTTCCCAAGTTCAAATCCTGACGTAGCGTTGACAGGAGAATTAAAATTGTTTTTTAGGTGCAGTACAGAGGCTGATTATTTCCTGAACTACACACACACAGTTGTTCTGATTTAGATATTCCAAGCATTACTAACTGTATGTACCTGGGGTGCCATGCAACACAGCAGCTTCCCAAAAGCACTCACCACACCTGCTCTTTTTAGTTCACCACTTGTTCCTTGTTTTGCTTTGTCAGCCTTGAAATGCTCATGTCCTCCTGTAAGGCTGCTCATGCTCCTGTTTCCTAACACCCCCTTCTGCAAATATAAACTATTCCTTACATACTGGAGAATCAAATCAAAAGATTCAAAGCTTCTTTAAACAGATGTGAACCACGCTACACAGCAGGCAAGTTAGGCAGCTACTTCAATTCACAGTATTTCCAAATAACTTAAACTGAAAACTAGAATTTTTTGCCCAACTATTAATAAGACACACCAATCCTCGCTGCAAGGAGGTAGAAAGACAAAGCAAAAGAAAAGATATTACCTTATAAGACTTAAAGGACAAAAATGTTCTGATCCAAAGTGCGATATCAACTCCACCTAAAGAATAAAAGCTGCTTAAAATAAAACTCCAAAGACCTACAGAGTCAAGAGTTCATTTAACATATACATCTAATCTTGAAATCGCAAGTTTTGTTTACTCAAGGGATTTGTAGATTGCCCATAACAGAAAAGACTCTGAAAGATTTGTTCTTGCCATGCATTAAAGTGCTGAGTCGCAGTAGAGAGCACCCCAAGCCCCATGCATTCATCGTTCCAAAAGAAGAGGTTGCTAACCTTTATGTACTTGATGAACATCTGAAGCAAGAGAAAGGAAAAGAGAAAAAAACAAAAAGAAAAACAAGATGTCAGTACAAAGGCTGAACACATGCCACAGGCAACTACAGAGTTTTGTTGTTTTTAATTCAGTACTATAAATGCTTAAGAAGACAAATTATGAAGGGTAAAGTTGCAATACTACTTCATCTGCCTTGGGTAGCAAGATTTCATTTAGCCCTCGTACCTTGCAGATAGAAGGTAACATGCAACAAGTGTTTTATTAATGAACTTAAGTTACTCAATTTTTCTAGGCAGTATGATTGAAGACAGAATACTGTGTTAAATTTACTAAGTGTATTTTTTTCCCTTAAAGAGCACAGATTACAGAAAGCGACTCAAAAGGAAAAAAAAAACCCTTCATAGCATGCATTCTATGTACTGCTGCTGCTTCAAGTTCAATATGAAATGCTTCAATTTATAGAAATGCTACTGGAAGAAAACATATAGAGCATCTGATGATACATTTGGAAGCTTCAGCCATCTGTGTATTTCTAGTGAAACTTGACTACACACTGATATTTAATCTAAATTCATTTGCAAGTGTAGAATGCATTTATTAAACCACTATGTAGACACTACCAATGAAGGACTGTAATAATCTGCAAGTGGTATTAAGATAACTATTCCCGTAAAAGCACTCTTACAAAAAAAATTCCATCATTTTTGAAACAAGTTCATTAAGCCACTTGAAAAATCACACTTTTTGAAAAAATGTTTGGACTCTTCTTCTGTAGACTAGGCACACTTAGAACCTGCTTACTTTTTGTGCTATAAAGTAAAAACATCACAAGAACAATCCTTTCAAAATTTTACCATGCTACATTATTCAAGGCAGAACACTGTATCCACCAAGGGCGTAAGTGCTGAAGCATCTAGTGTAATTTTGGAACTTCAGTGACAAGCAAGATTCCAGCTACCTCAAGGCAGTCATTCAGCCAGAAAGCAGAATTAAAAATAAATGAAATCTTTATCCTGTGACTCATGCAGAATTTCTGGGTAGAGAAGTTAGATAACTATCATTCATAGCTACTTCTTCATGAAAGCACAAATCATAATTCAGTAGCGCAAACCAAATTTTTTTTTCCCCCAGCACCATAATTGGAACATAACACATCACTGGAGAGGACCTAAAAGGTCTGTATTTTATTTGAATTTAAATCCCCACTACATCCCAGTATTTTCACAACAGCTTTTATCCCAGTCCAAGTACCACGTTATTTATGGAGTTTTATTCTCTTTGAGTCTCCTGAGTAAAGATAGCTTGCTGCAATTTATTTTGAAGGCGGAGAGATCACGGCAAGTGCTCCAGTAGCAGTAAGCCTAAATAATCTGCATGAGTCGCAGTTACGACTGAGTAACTGCAAAACTGCATTTCAAGTCTATTGACGAGAACCAGAATTCAAATGCTTACTCTTTCAGATTCACTTAAAGCTGTATAGCAGAATACAGCACAAAAGTATCAAGAAATATGCATATTCTGATCTGTGCTCCAGGGAGTGCGTGTGTGTATATACATATAGATATATAAAAAGCAGGTACAGCCAAAAGACAAAATAGGTCAGTACTTCCAATCTTACATTCAGGAGACAGCTGGTTAAGTCGAATAGAGCATTGTCTGGATTTTTCTTAATTCAGATATCAACTAAGTATGTACTTGGACACAAGGTAATAGGTGCTTCCCAAAACCCTCTCAGTTACCAGTATGAGGAAGATAAGATACTTGTGATTGTGTGACAAGGGTTTAGTACATGGCCAATCACACCAGGGCCTCTAACGAAACTAGTGCAATTAATGGTAAAGCATGCTTTGATAACATGTTTCTCTGGATGCTCTGTAATACAGGGTAAGCCCAGGAAACCCTTCCTTCCCTGCGAAGCATGGATGCTTTTGCAGTGTTAAGTTACCTTAACATATTTTGCATAAGTTACCTTAACATATTTTGCATACATCTGTTCATCCAAAGGAAAGCTTTGGACATTTCTCTCATCTCTGGCATGGAAAGTACCTAATTTAATCCATTTGTTTGTTGGATACCTAGAAAAGAAACAATGGAGTCAGCTAATGAAATGCACGAACCCACTGTGCACAGACATTTGCTAGTTTCCCAAAATGCCTTTTCACAGAAAAAATACTTTTTTTTTTTCAGTTGCAAGATAGTGGCAACGTGGTTTTTATGGAAAGAAGAGTTGCAAGATAAAGCTAGTCCCAACTCAAAACCTCAGCAGTATCTCACCTCTTCACATATTTAAAACAGCCCCTGAAGGATGAAGCCCTAGACTTGATCCAATTACTGAAATTCAGCCAGCCTACAGTAAAGTTTCTGGAACTGAAAAAAGTCACCTCAGATGAACACTGAAGAACATGACACATAAGTGACAGGTTGTAAATATTATTGTAAGCAAGCGGCAAAAAACTGTGAGCAAAGCAGAGTTAGAACTAGGCAACAGAGCAAGTGTTGAAAATCAGAATCTAGACGCTTTAAGCATCTGAAGAAGACAGTGAGGTTTTTTGATGCACTGTGAGAATGTCTCCTCTTTCGCATAGCAGAATAATCTGCTCACTCCTGGAAAGCAGTGGGGTACAACATTGCCTAAAATACGATAGTCACCCTTTAACTAGCCATTCGGCCAACCAGTAGTATTCTTACCCCTTCTAATTACTCAATGGTGTACCGCCTTTTTTTTTTTTTTAAATAATTTGGGGGTTTTTTGGACAGAGTTCAGCATTGAAGACAGCTTAAGCCATGTGAAAATGGTCTGAATGACAAGGGAGGAGACAGCCCACAACCCCAGTGGTTTTCTGTTAAGGAATGTTCATTTTATAATCTGGCATCCACTACCTAGCTACTGTATTAATTTCTGCTGCTTCATTGCTACTTTTCAACAAATTTTTCCTTTTCATTTTTAAGGTAACAAAGAAAAAAAAAATTCAGGAAGCATGGAAAGAACTCAAGCTATGTATTCTAGGATCTCACAGTTGCCCTTTCCATGGAAAAAAGTGCTAGCAACTGATAATATACACACACAAAGAAAATCCACGTAATTTCACAATACATTACACTTTGCATAATAACAGGCATACACAGACCATGTTTTATGAAGCCATCCATTTAATAAGTATTATTTCATTTTTCATGCAGAAGGGTGGGTTTTGATAACATACCTGTCACTAATGGATACCAGAAAGTCTTTAGGAGTGGAAGAGAATAATTCATGATTTGCAATGTCAAGCTGCTTTACTTGGACTGGTTCACAGAGCTCAATAACAAACCTTGAAGACGAAAAGGCAGTATTAAAAAAAAGCACTTCTCCTTCTACAATTACAGTCCTCAGTCTTTTTACCTTATTACTATATCCTTCGCTGGGTATAAAAGAACACTACAAAAATGCTGTTCAATAAGGACGCATCACTTGTTGCTCCCTTCAAAATCACTAGTGATACTTACATGCAGATCTAGCTTAGTAATTCTAGATAGCACCTGCAGCTACAAAAGCTTCATCCATCTTGTACTCAAAGGCAACAAGTCACAGAACTAAAAACTAAGGAGAGCAAACATCATTTAAACCACACCTGAAATACCAGTTAGTATATGGTAAATTGTGATCATGTGTCCTACAATTATTTGACAGCTGGGGAAAGAAACCAAAATCTTCACTGGAACACTCAGTGCTTTCTCTTCTGCAAGATTACAATTATGCAAACACTATAAATACTACAGTGAATGAAGTTATCCCCTTAATCTTACTTCTCAATACCAGAGACAGAATTCTAGGGGGGACATAAAGCATCTAGTGCTAAGTCCGTCAAAGTTCCTCACACACACACTTCAGACAGAGACACACCAAGGTCAAATCAGTCCCCCAGGATACCTACAGTCCCATCACAATGGAAAACTATAACCACTCCTGTCATACAAGCAAACCTACCAGATTTTAGTACTGCAAGGATTTAGCATATAAAGGTCCATGTTTTCCATCAAAATAGCTGAAGTGCTCTGTATAAAGAAGAGAATTAGTATTTTAAATTGTATGGTAGATACTAAAGCAGCACCAAGGGTTTTTCCCCTCCCTCCACAAATAAGTTTGATATTAGTTATGTAGACTAATACCAAGTTTCACAACATTCTAAGCAAGATAATATACAGGAGATATTATGCCATACTACTTTGGGGCAATGACAGATTATTTACTATGGCAAGCTGTTTAATACAACTTTGTTCAGTTGTTCAGTTTCTGTACTGAGTAGATTCTGCTCCCCCTTCCAAATTCACTTAAAAAGACATCAACTTCTCTATAGCAATCCCGCTTAGAAAAGAGAGAGATCATAGTTTATGTCCCATTTTTACAAATCAAAAATCACAATAAGCCTGAACATAGAAATAAAAGATTAATTCAGAAATCAGTGTTCAGTTTTAAATAAGTGTAGGTTGTACTACTTCTTGCATAAGAGTAAACTGAAATAATGCACACTAATGAGTAGTAAACGCTTACCTTCGCCTCTGGATTCGCTGCCAAGATTTTGGCACCACACTCTACAGAGGCATAGTTATTTCTATTTTTCTGGACTTTTTTTGTGGAATGCTGCCCACCAACAGCAGAAGGGTGCATTGACTGACCTAGAAAAGAGAAAATATTGCTCCTATAACAAACCACACAAACAAACAGTATTTTCACTTTCAGGGAAATTCTGCTCACTGCTTTTATATAATAAATGCCATTTATTATGTAGTTCTAGTAGAAAAGTGAAGTTCCAGGCTGCATTCCAAATTGAGACAGTTTCACTATTCAAATCTGATACAAGATGAAAGTGGTCTGTATTTAGACCAGGCCAATGAATCCTGAACTTACTCTTTTCTTTCTCCACTTCCATGACTTTCTTCTTCCATTCATCAAATGTTGGAATGTCTCCAGGGTCCTTTGGAGTCATCACCGATGTAGGGTCAATTTCTCCTGTTTTCTTATAGTCTTTCTGCAAAAGAATGAGCCACCAATTGTGAATATTTTTCAGTACCAACAACAGAAGCAAAAAAAAAAAAAAAAAAGGAGCATGCTCTCATCAAGTCAACAGCAGATACATCATATGAACCCGTGTTAAAAAAGTAGTGCCAAAGTAAGATCACAAGCCAGAAAAAATACGTGATTAATTCCTCCCAGAATTACAGATTCTTTCACTGAGATGCTGGTAATTTTTGTGGCTAAACTAATACATTTTAAGTAAAACGTAAGCATTCTGTCTCAAAAAGTCTGCTTTGTCTTCAAAATTTTTGATTTTCCTCCTTCTAACGAGAAAAGGTTTCCCTGTAGCAGAAATCTTCAAATATGAATGTTGGTCATGACAGAATTTCAGAGGTCCCCTGGAGTTTCTGAACACCTCAAAAACCAGCAGAATGAGATACTATGCAAAAATGTTTTATTTAATATTTAATGATCAAAGAAATAATGGTTTGAAGTTGCCTGACAAAGCAGCAACCCTTTTAACCATATGCTATACCGTTTCAAGTCTTAACTTCTTTGTACAAACACACTTCCAGCACACCACCAGATGCGCAAAAAGCTTTTGCTAGACATTTCAAGTGTAGAGGTTATTTTGTAGACAACACTTTACAGATAGTTTCCAGAATGACTGCTTTGTAGGTTGACATTTTCTCTGCAATTAAAGCAAGAATTATTTCACATATAGTCCTATAGCTGAAAGCCCTCAAAAGAACCAAACCCACATTTCGGACAAAAGTGACAACAGAATTCTTCACATGACTATACTGCAACAACCCAAAAATATATCCCCACATATATTTAGAAATAAGAGGACCTAAAAAAACCTGTATCTTCTTCTCCCAAGAAAGTAGAGGTTATAAGATCCTCCTTAGACTATGACGAAAGTGGTAAGTCAAAAAACTGGGTAAGCAATGCCAAATCATGCTCTGGCTTAACTATGACATCAGGCCAATGCCGTAAGTATTTAAACTGCAGTCTTTAAAGCATTAGGTTAAATAAAGAAAATCTTGGCTTTTTTTTAATAATGGTTTACACCAATTTGTTTGTAGTAAGTTCTTTAAAGACTCTTACTGACTGTATGTAATTATTTTAAGGCACGCTGTACTCTGTTCAATAATCTTGGGAAAAACTTCTTAGTTCTAAAAGAGTCATCCAAGTTATTAGTGACAGTTTAAATGTGATCCTAAAATAGCAAAAAATGGTATTGCCGTGGCCTTGGTCATTCCTTACCTATTTAAAAAACGTAAGCTTTAGGAAGTGCCTCACAGTAAGAACATAAAAGTAGTCATACAGTTAAGTGTAAAAGACCTATCTAGCTAAGTATCCCACTTTAACAGTGGCCAAATAAGATACCTAGGAAAGAATGAAAACACACCAAACGTTTTGTATTTCCTCCAACTGTCATCTTTACCTCTAGCCATCTGCTTGCTACTCAGGAACTTCCTGACTCAGTCAAGATTCAACCCTCAGACTTCTCTTCTACAAGCTTACCTGGACCGTGCAACTCCTTCCTTTTTTTTTTTTTTTTTAAAAACCTATGTTAAAAAAATCCAGCATCCACAGCATCCAGCAGGAAATCCCAGCGTAACTATCCATTGCATGAAGAACATTTCTTCTGGATTCTGCTCCAGAGAGTTTTATTTGATTTCCCCCAAGTATTTGAAGAGACTTAGCTCAGAAAAACTGTTCTGTGCCAATGAATCAACCTTGCTGCCCTTTTCTTCCAGTTTATTATACCTTTTTTGAGACGGCAGTATCAGAACCACATACAATGCTCAAAATGTGAGGGCTGTGCATTTATGCAGTGGCAATCAGAAAAGTGATGGATATCACTCATCTTTAACAATGGTGATAACCTAACAGAGGTCATTATGCTCCTGTGTATACTGAGTGGATATCAGCACTTACCTCCCTTTTTAAGTTCTCTGAGGCATTCAGAGCAGATTTTTGCTCATCTGCACCCTTTTCAGCTGCTGAAACTTTCGACTCAAACTCAGATTTTGTCTTCTTTCCCTTGCCATGTGAAGATGATATGTTCTCTATATGTTGACCTGCAAGGCTGAAAATTTTAAGAGTATTAAGACCTATAAAACGATCACATTTTCAGCCATATGCAATATTAAACACACACACACAAATATGTAGATAAGCAAGCACATGCAAATGTTTGTTGCAAGGCCAGGACAGAAAAGAACAATGACCTTTAAATTATTCAGACTCACAACCTACTTCAATACTCACCTCTCTGGTGGACTGACAAAAGAGGAAGGCTCACTCTGAGGGTCAGCCTCAAGTGTCCCACCAATATCACAGTCAGGTTCTGACTGCTCAGCATCACTAGAGCTGACTACAGGGATATCAGCACAGGAATTTTCTATTGCACTGAAGGGAAAGAAATAACATGCTTTTTACCCTTCTGATAATACAAGTAACCCTAATAATCAACCACATAACTAAAGATATTTGAAAGTTCTAAAAAAGCAACAGTCTCACAGAAATAACTAAGAGAAGAGGAATGAAGTATGCTATACTTGGGGAACCGCATTCTCAACTGTACCCATGTAAAAATAGAATTTCCTTTTCCAGCCTGTTTGTCCCAGCAAAGGAACTCAAAGCTAGCTTCTCATCTCCCAGAACTCTCATCTAACATCTTACGGAACACTGCAATGGATAATTTTTCCCATCATCACTACAGACTAAGAACAGCATCATAGTTACCCAACTGCCAGCAATTTTCTTTTCCCTTTCAACAAAGGAATCAAACACGAGACAGTTCCATCACTAAAAGCTGCTGATGTTCCCAAGTCAATGGGCAGCAGTCAGGACAGAACTTGGCTAAAACTAGAGGAGAAAAGCGGTGGCATAACAATAGATAGTAGAGCCAGCCAGACTTCCTTTCCACTAGATTTTTTTTGCTAGTGTAATAAAAGTGAGATAACCCAGCAGACCATTATCCAAGCTGCATCAACAGCCCAAACTAGCTGATCTGCCCACTGCTTTACTTCCTCTCTCCCAGAAAGACTGAACACACTACATCAGACAAATCCTAAGGCAAAAAATGAAAAGAAAGCCTCCCTATATACTCTTCAGGAATGATGGAATGGGTGAGGAGAAGATGGACAAATAGTAACTTCTGTGACTTTCTTCCCTTCTCCAGTACAAGGGGATGACTTTCATATTGATCTAGAAGGTTATAAACCAGATCTAAGTAAAAGTCTTTATTCTGCCTCCTAAATTTCAACATAAGCTTTCTTCAACATCAGCAGCAAACTAGGTTAATCCAGTATCATGACATAGAGCTGCAAAAACACAAACAGCACGTCGGCAACTTAAAAGGGGATGTTTTTGGTTCTCTGACTGCTACAATCATCAGCAGAAGCAGCTGTAACACACACAGGGAGCCAGTTTTAGACCTTTCATATGATAAAGTTCCCACAGTATAAAACAAGAAACTCATAGGTATTCGAGACTTTTTGTTATGTCACAGAAATCTAAAACTCTAGGAATACAAGAATTTATTGGCTATAAACAGCGAGTAGTTTCTCTGAACGCCCCAAAACGCACACGTCTGAGATGCACACAGTTTAGCTCTGCATGTAACACTTTAATGACTGAAGTTAGGTTGATCACTACACTTAAAATTAAAAAGCTCCACATATTCTTAATCTCAGTGGATAGATGATAGTATGAATAATTATCAACCGAATAAAATATGGGACAAGTATGAACTTAAAAATATCCTGGTATCAGGGTGTACCTGAATGGTCTCAAGTAACTAATTTTGGCAGAAAGTAAGTAGCACAAGCCTAAAAACTGTAGTGCTCCCTCTCCTTTGGGTACTTTCATTTGTTAGTAGCTTTGCCTTCATTTTTAAAGTGCATTACCAAGCTCACTTTGCATGGCAGCTGTCTTTACTTGCAGCCAGAAGAGGAGCTCAGATTATTGTTTAAGAAGTTTCCCCCAGATTAGGTCTGGATAGAAAAAGCCACAATCAGTGCTGTCCTAAAAAAGATTCATTACAAAGTAAAAATAGTTTGGAATAAAATTACTTCCAGAAAGAATATTTTGACTAAGAGGTCCTGCTGGAATATCAGACTGGTAACACCTAAGGGAGCTGGACTTTGTTACACTGATGGGAATCAGCATCTGAAACAGGAAAAATGCTGTCTAAAGATAAGAAATGCAACTGAATCTTTTAAAAGATCTTGTTTAACTGTGGAGTTGGACTACAGCTGTTTTGGATATTAGAGTTAATCTACACAAAAAGAGACCACCTATTACTATTTAAAGCTAAACTGAAGTTTGCAATAATGTATAACTATGCATCTCCCCTATACTCATTCTACCCTTTCTTCCTGTAAATGGTACTAGTGTCAGAACACTACTGCCAAGCATTAACTAATATATCAGGTGCTCCAAAACAAGTTTCCATTTTCATTTTTTTCATAGTTCGAGTCTTCAGAGTTCATCACTCTAGTATTCCCCAACTATGACAGCAAGACTATTTTCAACAATTACAAGATACCAAGCTGAATGTTCAAAGGAAAGCAAGATCCTGAATCTCCTTCTAAGACCTGACAGCAGTAAGACTTACAATACATTACACAAACAAATCAATACAGTAGTCAACAAAAGCTATAAAAAGAAACACGCTAAAATTACATTCCAGTTTTGCTTTATAAAAAACTGCAAATTTGGGAAGCTTGATTTTCAAAGACTTGCAATTGAAAGACACTTATGAAGTACCAAAAGGTGCTTAAGTGTCAACCCTAGCAGCCTAGACAAGATCAGTCAGCTGACAAGACTTCCAGACCTTTTCTATAGAAGAGAAACTAAATTTGGTAAACCAGAAAAACTGGACTCTTAAAAAACCAAAACACCAAAGAACAAGAGAAGTCTACTTCATTTTTAACATGTTAAATTTTTTACCTATCAAAATATTGTATCTTTATCAGCAGACATTCAGAAGAATATATACCCCTTAGCACACATTAAAAAGCCCACGAGAATTTTGTGAAAAGTACCTAGAAGTATATATACACATGAATTTCCGTACTACAGTTCACATTTGATAGCACAGCATTCCGCAAAAGAAGGGAAACAAAGTTAAGCACATCAACTCTTGAAAACTACCTGCAGCAGAGGTAGCTCTGCAATACACTACTAAGTACCAGAATTACAAACTGTCTTGGTTCCGTTTATACTAAAATTTGCTATTTCATCAAAAGTCTCTCAATATCAGAACTTATTTAAAACTGCTCTGGTTGCAAGTCCTGGAGTAAAATCCTACAAAGTTCATCCTTTAATGAAAGCAGAGGCCATCACTGAAGCAGCCTTGATGCTTGTTATCACACATGCCAAAGCACATTTGTGAAGGGCAGAAATCCTAATGGTAAAAACCTGAGGGCTTTTATAGTATAGATTATCTAGCTCATAAAAGACATTGGATTTTTTCTGTCAAAGCAGCAGCTTAGAAACTGGTAATGGCAATACTATGACACTTCAGGCAAGTACACAACTCTTAATCCATGCACTGAGCACATGATGGCGTATTCCATTAGCATTGACACCATAAACCAAAGTACAGCAAAAGAATCGTGTGTAGCAGTCTAGTCTTATCCCTATTAAACCTGAAGAGGTAAGCCTTTTAACAACATCAGAGTAAGTTATATTCTCTCAAAGACCAAAACAGTAAAATAAAAAAAGCTTACTCGGGCTGCGAGACTGGAGGTATCTCTGAGGTAGGTGAACTGGAAATGTTTTCAGTGCTTGCAACTATGCTAGACGAAGCTTCATTTAAATCTACTGAAGGTGGAGTCTCAACTTCAGGCTGGCTTGCTTCACTCGTTTCTGTAGTCTGTGAAAACATTACAGATGAACATACGTTTTTAAAAACTTGAATAGGAAAAGCATTCATACAATAACATCTAGTATGGAGTTTTAACAATTCAGTAGTTTAGATTTCTGTCATCAATGAACCTGAAAATCAGACAGCAAGACAGTTAAGAAATAAATTTTCTTTCTTCATAAACCTAGGTGGTATTCAGTGCTACTCTGGGATAGTTGCAACACTCTTCCATAGTCTGCAATAATAGTGTAAAAATATTAATTGGAGAAGGCATGTGCAACAGCTTCCTCAACCATGCATCTCTCTAAAGAGACAGACACAAGAAAACAAGCTTGACTATTTCAGCAACTGAAATAAACGGTTCTACTTGCATGCTCCATTACAATAAAATTTACATTTACTATTTTCATCCTAAGCTTAATTTTGGGGAAGGCTTTCAATTTTATCACTGCAATGGAGGTCCAAAATGATTTAGAAGTCTATTCCATCTTGTAACTGAACAAAGAGATAAATCACTTATCACTTCTGAGAGTCTAGTAGTCTTGAGTCTTATTTATTCTAGTTCTTCAGTTTTCATAAGCTGTCACACAACATAATCAAAATAAGGCTTTCTGAATCTGGAAGAGTACATAACCACTGAAACAGGTCAGATTAACTCTTGCAGCAGTACTATTAAACAATACTAAATATTATTAATGCTATTAAATACTATTCAACAAGTGCCTCTTGTCAATAGCTGGATTACTCCAAGTCACTTAACTGGACATGAAGAGGTCTGGAATGTTTTACTATGGATATGTTTTACATATCTAAACCACGCAATATATATTCAGAAGTATGTCCTACATATGTTGTCTTGTAATCTACAAAACCCAAAAATACATACTAAATAAATCATCTATTAACAGTGGGCTTTGTTAGCAGTGGACTTTAACATTTAACATCGAGCACTGACTTCATGTTATCAATGGCACATACAACCCTTTTTCCACTTTAACAAAGGAAATGAAACTGACAGAAGCCAGGGAGGATCAAAGTTAAAACAGACTGCTACAATCACCAAGTCTGATCTATACAAAAGACCTCAGTGAGAAGGTTATGTTTTATTTATAAAGAGACAGCCATACCTATAACATCGAATTTTAATTTATCTTGGAAAGATTTATTTAGTCAGTACCTACAAATATTAAATTATTCTTATTATTACTTATGCACACGGGAGATGCAAGATCTGTTAGCTCACACGTTTTCTCCTTCATTGGAAACACGAGTCTGACAGCAACCCTACGTGCAAATGAAACGCAATAGATGAGCTTTAGATAACCAAAATGAATGAGACTGAAATCCAAGAAACACGTGAAGAGTGTATGAAGACAGTGAATGAAATAAAAGTCTTGCCTGGTCAGATTTTGTAAAGTCATCAAGTAGCTCTTCTGTAGAGTAACTCTGTGTACTTGAGTCTGCATGCTCAGACTCCAGTCTGGGACCAGCGTCTTCCACCTAGTATAAAGGTAAAACAACAGTAAGTATGCACTAACACAGGTCTTCTATTCTAGTAAGAGGAGTTACCTTTGGTACAGACTGAATAATACTACCCTTACAACCACCAAAATATCAACAAGAATTTAAGCTACATGAATCTTCAGAGTCACTGCCTACATACGTTTAAAATCTCATCTGTACAAAGACTACAGCAAGTTAAAACAACTCAGTTAAATCTTCACAGGAAAGACCATTTTAGCATTGTCTTAAACTATCAGTTTGTGTTAATCATTCTGCTATGACTTCTCATGTTGACAAATCCTCCGTATCTCCTTGCTGCCCAAAACAGGAGGGGAAAAAAAAAAATGATCCTAAGACAACTTGCAACAGAACCACTAAAAAAATAACACTCGGCACATTTCAGTTATCAGCAGAACTAGAATAATTTCACAAGTCTGCTGTAACCTTTTAAAGCAGCTTTCTCTTTTACAACTGAAGATTTACAATCAGGTGCAGTGAATTCACACAGTAAAAAAGAATACAGACTTGAGGGGAAAAAAAAGTTTTAAAACCACCAGACTGTAGAACTAACAAGAATTTACTTGCCCCTCAGGCTTTTTTTTTTTTTTTTAAAGTTGTGACTACACCATATGCAAGTTATTTTTGAGCAATTCTTTAAAATACAGCAAGAAATCTGATAGAAATTTACACGCCCGTCATTTTATAAGGGCTATCTAAAATCCTGTGGTCAAACACTGGAAGTGCTAGTGTTCAGATCCAAAGTGAGCTGCTACGCTATACAAGATTACACGATCATATTAATTTGAGAGAGTTAAGGCATACACTGGAAGAGCAGGAAATACAAATTTGAGCAGGCAAATCTTAAAGACATCAGCTAAGCAACACTTTTCCCCAAATATTATTAGCTCACATCCTAGTCCCTGAGATTAAATAGCATCAATGCCTTGAAGGGACAACTGATCTAAGGCAAACTGATCAAGGGCTGCAAGACTGCTCTTTTTGAGTAGGACATCACCAGCAGCCTAGTTAGGAGTAATAGACACATGCTTAAGATTTCTCATACGCACAAGAGATTTTACTTTAATGAGCAAAAAGCACAGTATACTTCACATCTTTCGTTTTAAATTGAGAAATCTGCTTAACAATGCAGCCATGTTACTGGAATGAAGGGAAGAATGTGGCAAAAAAGTAGGAAAACATACACCAGTGGCTTCTCAGTCTCAAAGCTTACTTGATCTTTCCAGTTTTATTACATCAGCCATTAAACTCCAGCAGGACTTTTTTTCAGGCAGCCAGAAGAATAGGACTGAATGCTATTTGGCCACATAAGCTGGCAAAAAAATACAGCTACCCTAGATGTTGAAATGCTTAAGAAACCTACAATATTTAAAGTATTTTTTTTCTGGTCAGGCAGCTCTCCACTTGAGACAAGAAGAATGCTCAACACACATTTTCCAGGTTTGATGTGGCATATAAAAGCTTTCTTGGAATAAGGACCATGATTAGCACTACTACTGAGTGATGAAGGCATTGGGAAGACCAATAACATCAATACTACCCATACTTATCATAGGACTGATTCTTTACCTGTGTAAATAAATAAATAAATGAAATTATGATGACTTTTTGATATGACTTAACTGCTTGGGAACTCACTATGAAATTGCATATGCAGAAGCTTGTCAAGAGTTTATCAGGGTGGGACAATTACACTCAATTTAACCTAAAGTGCTGAGTAATGTAAATAAGAAAGGGACAGAATCTTGTTTATTAGCATTTCACATATGTGTTTTAACTTTGTTAATTTTTATTAAACAGGAGGAAAACAAACTGATAAATACTGACTTAATAAAACAATTAATCTTAAATCTTCTATTTAGGATACCAATCATTTGTGCACTGGGTTTTTAACACAACACAGATGCAACTGGCTTATCCAGGCCATCACCTCTTACCGTAGTCTCTACAAAGCCACATACTATCCCCGATGACCACCTCTTCTAACATCTGGCACCCAAATTAAAAAAAAAAAAAAGGAGCCGCCATTACTAGCTTTACTATTTGTTTCCCCACCCCCCAAACTGTCCAGCTCTATTGTTGCATAATAGCAACAAACTTGAAGTAAAGGAAAACAAAAACTTGGGAAGATAACATCATGGTTCACAGAACAACTGAGTACATTAAACATTCTGTCCAAGAAGACTCTATGAATCAAAGTGTACGAATCAATTTTTTTTTTTTTTTAATTTAATATCAAGTCAGACCGAGTAGTTAATTAACATGGTTTATTCAGCATACCTTTTCCTGGACATTTTCATCATCATTTGCCAGGGCACAAGCATCACCTGAAGCATATTGCACTGCCGATGAAAGACTGTCTTTACAAAAGACATGCCAAATAGGAAGCCTATGTAAAAAAAAAACAAAAACAAAACCAAAGCGTCAAAGACTTGATTTAAAATGAATAAATAATATTTTAAAATTTCCTCAGCATTGACTCCCTCAACCTTTTTTCAGTTGTTCCCATGAGATGCCTAAAAAATAAAAATACACATGGACAGTTCATAGATACTCATTTATCACAACTATTGGAGGACTTAACTTTAAGAAATTATAACAGAAAACGCACTACAAATTTACCACTTCCAAAAGACAAAAGTATCAGCAAAACAGTTATTGGGGTGATACCATGTCACAAAATGGAAGCTGACACAAATTAGTTAAGTTACTGCAAGTTAGAAAGACACTGAATCAACTATATCCTTCACCATAGAGTAATGGTACATCTTTAGCAATGATTATTACTAAGCAAAAACTAAAGCCACAGATTAAAATAAATAAAGCTCCTTGTTTCCCTGTACAGATCATACCTGAGAAAATTCTGTATGGTCAGCATATCAAGCACATTTAAGAGAATGAGAGAAAATAAGTATATTAAAGAAAAAGCCCGTGCAAAAACCAATGAAAATGTAGAGACAAATGGCAAACCAGGTGCTTGTTTTAGCTACAACCTCCATAGAGATTTGGTTTGCACTTGCAGTTCCGAACAATTTTGCTTCTCAGTAGAAACAATTTTGTTTCTGTAGAAAAGCAGCCAACATCTATACAAACACTTGCATCAGAACAGCATCTTTTGTTACTTATCGTGCATGGCCCCACCACATCCTAGGTAACACCTGTACAGCAAATCATTAGGCTTGGAGGCCCAAAGGCCGGCAAAGGTCTTCATGCAGACTTCAAATAAGTCCAGCAAAATGCTATGCAAATTGAGGTTTTAGTGGAGTTTTCAACTATACTTGAACATCAGAGCCACCTGCCACTTTAAAGCCAAACACTTTTCCAGGAAATACTGTTTACATGACAGCCAGGTGATCAGTATGACCCCGTGTGAATGCACACAAACATCACTCCGCACCCCCAAAAAAAGGGCCTCCTCTTCCCAAGAGGAGACAGGTCTACAGCAGATCTTTAAGCATACAAGAAATCTGGACACAGCAACCTTCTGACGTAAGTTTTGAAAACTAAAACATAGCCTTAACAGTCAGTCATAATAGTAAGAATATTAGTAGGTCAGGATTCACTCACACAACTGCCATCAGTCTAGTGTTGTCTTAAAAATTTGAAGATCACCTTTATTGGAAAGTATATGCAGCGTAGATTCCTCCACCGAGGAGGAACCCGTGCTGCAACAGACCACAGTCAAGAACTAAATTTTAAAAACAGTTTCATACATATATATATATACACACACACACACACGTATATACACACACAGAGGGAGCACTACTTCTCCAGATTGCAGGCAATCATAAAATTGGGTTTTTGTTGTAGAACCATAAACCTACTGCTCCTCTTCCAACCGCATCAGCAGGGAGTGTTAGCAAGGCACTAGCCACTCTAAATGCAGGTCTCTTACCATCAGAAGAGCAGAAGACAGCATACAACGGGGATCTGATACACTATTCTGGAGATGGGTAAATAAGGTGTCCGAGGTCTGTCTCAGCCCCACTGCACCTCAGTAATTCCTCTTATCTTTGAGGTAACAGCTTTCCCCTAAACTAAATGGAAGCCCTCAAGTCAAGTAGAAGCAGCTGCAGTTACTGGAAACTAAAGCACTGAATATAAGGGTATGAAAACACTTAAAACAACATATTGTAGCGGGTACAAAGTCTCTCATCTCAGTTAAGTTGAAAATGAGGTGTACGCATTCTCACACATCTTAAATTCCCATCCCATCATGTAGTTACTTGTTTGTATTAAGTTTTCCACCAAACCTCTGTCTTACCCTAAGCGCAGGACATACATTTAAGAGACAGAATGAAATGTTACCAAACTTTTACAGCCTTACTTCCTAACTCTCGCTTGGAAAAATTAGTTATGCAAATACTTCAAGTCATTTATTTTTCTGAAAAGTGGCTTCAATCATTTCATGGAGAAATTTTCTCATGCTCTTAATTCCAGCACCTCTGGCTCTCTCCTTCCAGCTATAATGACTCCCTGGTTCTTCATAAAAATACAAGAGAAAGATCAAAAATTATACAGAACATACTGTAGCTCATTCCACCCTGTTATTATACATGCACACAAATGTTATTTCCTATTTTGCTTACACTAAGGGGGGGATCTTCAGTGAGCTGTACAGAGCAACATTAAGTCCCTTAATGTAGAAAACAAAAGATATCATTGGCTGTGAATCAGCATTTTAAAACACAAGGTGTATTTTCATAACCGCATTAATAACTACTTTAGCACTTGCAGTCACGAAAAGCACTTAGCACAAAACACACAAATTTCTTGCTTTAATATATTGCTACTTTTAATGCAACAAATCATACTTCATTAGAGCATGAATACAGCTTTTAGAAGAATGCAGTTTGACAGCTCATAGATTTAAGCTATTCTGACATTATCTGTCCCCAATATGCAATTTGCTTATTTTCAGAAATTCTTCTTAGTCTACTCCCCAACTTAAACATGATGCCTCAAGTCTCCCAAGAGCCCTCTAAGCAAGGGAAGGGACTGAGAATTCCTTTTGTGTATGTATGCATGCACCCACAAGAAAACCTGAGCCCCGCCACAACAGAGGATGTGGCAGGCAGGATATATCATTCAACTGCTGCCATCAAGCTCTGACTGAGCATTAAGAACACAAATCCACAGAATGCAAGGCCACGTGAGACCAGCCATTCTGTGAGAAGTCAAATTAATCACCTTATCAGGACTTCCGCTACTTTTTTTCCTTCTGTCTTTCAGCATTCTGCACATTGATTCAACAGGCTTCTTTAGCCACAGGCTGATAAATGATATAAGCCATAATATGAAAATTTGCCAAATGGCATAGCACCTCTGTTAAGCATTTCTCTATGTGCAGAAAGACAGCAAACATGAAAACTTAAGTGTTCATTTACTGAGAACAGAATTCCCCTTGAATTTAGTGAACTTGCAGAGTCTGTCCAGTGAAAGCACAGCAGCTTCTGCATCCTTCTACATCCTTCCCTTTCTCATGACAAAAAAGTAGTATCTTAATTCTGACTTGGAACCAAGCAGATCTAATGCCCAAATAGTACTGGAGATTAGTCACTAGACATACTCATGTATCTCAGGTACAAGGTATATCTTCAAATGACATAACAGTGTAGAAATAATTCAAGAGATTGTTCCAAACACATAGCCAACGGTTAGTGACTTACACGGATACAGAAGTTTTCAATAGTACCATTTTTGCTACATATGACTCAAAATAGCAACTGCTATTAAATCTCATAAACAACAAAGAAACTTAAGTATGAGTCTTTTAGTATCATTATTAATGTAGTTTAAAAGCTATTTTGTCTAATAGGCCATGAATTTTTCAGCTTGATATGCACAAACCCAAAAGCAAAAGCTGCAAGCCCAGCCACAGAAGGGGTGGAATCTTTACTCTTCACAGGGCAGGCACATACTGTGGTTCTCTACTGAATCAGAAAGTCTGCTCACCCCTATCTGAATAGTACAGTACACTTACTGCTATACACATCGGCTATAGTCTACTGATGGCTGTTAGGCTTTTGAAAAGGAATGCACTGCAATTCAAAACTGCCGGTGGTTTTGAAATTGCAGTGTAGGTTTCATGTGAAAGACTGTCCAGTTCTAATTTGGCTCAAACTCTTTAAGTAATTGTGAAGGAGGCTGCAGAAGACTATCAGAGATAGTGAAGCTATTGATAACTGTTTTGACAAGCATAAAAATGAAGTAGAAAGTAAACACTGGTAAGAAAAATTAATCATACAAGTTACGGCTGACAAAAAAAAAATCCAAATTAGCAAAAACTGAAAGTAAGAGCAGTTTTTCCACAATTAGATCTTCCCAGAGAAAAACAGCCTAAGCTTTCCTTTCCAAAGACTTCACACAAAAAAACCCTGACACTTACACAAGATTCAGTTCAAACACATCTGTCCTCTAAATGATTCAAGGGTTTTCTTAAATTCTCCCCAAACAAGACCTATCTCTGGACACCAGAGAGTGAAGCAGTTCAAAAGTTTACAGTTAACACCTGTGAGAGTAATTTTAAGCAAAGGGAAAAGAAAAGGAAACTATCACCAGCGTACCGATTCCCAAGCCCTCCTTGAATGCATGGAGAACAGTCTCTCTCCAGGACTGTCACTGACATTTTCTGCACCTCTCGGAGGGTTGGATTACCAACAGGTGCAGATGCACCAATGCCCAACAGCTAAGAGGGAGAATGGAGATGTCACCGTCCCTGCCATGTGACACTTCTCTACTGAAAATATTCATAGGATCAGTTCAGGATAGGCCTGTGCAAGAGAAGGCTGGTGGGTTTTGGACCCAGAGGGCAGAGAGGCCAGCAGAGCAGGCCTATGAATGGGAGAGAGGCACCTAGTTGTTGGTTGAAGCTTACCTTCTTGATTACAGAATAATTTATTTTGGATTAATCAGGTAAAAAATGAGAGAAGCTGCAAAACGGTGAGGAAGGCAGGAAAATATCTTTTGCTTTGAACAAATCCTACAGGTCTGTGACTGCTATCACTAGCCTGTCAAAGAGAAAGAAGGCTCTGTAAGAACAAGGAGCTCAGCAGATCTACAACCAGACTCTCAAATCAGCAGTAATCTGCCTTCTAGCCGCTGATAATGCAGAAAAAACAGCAAAAGGAGGGAACCCTCTCCCCAGTAACTTAGTGGAATCCATCTTTCTCTCAGAACAGTTCAGCAAGAGGGACTCGCATCTAAAAGGGCCCACAGAACGAGGTAAATCTCTCAGAAAATGAGAACTGGGCTTTTAGGACAGCGACATTATTTCAACCAGTCAGAGGAGGAAAGCGATTTGCAAGGCACTGACTGCTTTAGCACAATCTCCCCCGACACAACACTCATTTCTGCATGTGAAGTGGAAATAAGTGTTGATAAATG